AATTGTGTCCTCTCCCCTTGTTATTCCTCTTATCATTATTATTGGTAGCAGTAGTGGTTTGTATTATACCTTAGTTACTGGAGTGCTGTTATCTCAACCTGTGGGAGTTACATTCCTCCGATTCTCCTCCCCATCCCTTCGGGAGCAAGGGGAAGAAGGAAGTGGGGGGGGAGTGAGCGAGTGGCTGCATGGTTCCAAGTTGCTGGCTGGGCTTGAACCATGACAAACATCTATAGGATGTGTGAACCTCATGGGAGGTGTGATATAGATTTACGTCACTGAACAATAATGTTGACTTTTTTGTTCTTTGTATGCTTCTAATATAACAACATAGAACACCACTTTTTGACTTTTCCTGAATATTGATACTTTCAGTAAACTATGTAGAAGCATTACCCAAAAAGAGTAACAAATTCAGAATCCATCCCTGTATACATAAAGTTATTTTTCCATATTTTGCACATAATCTACTACCGTAAACAATTTTTATCAATATAAAAATAAGGTGTGTTCCCAAAGAGAAAAGAAGCTCTTATTAAGGCTCCTAAACCATATTTAGATGATATAGAAGCATAACCCAATTGTACCTCAAACTCTCTGAACAACTGTAAAATAGTAATTTCTTTCTGTGTCTCAGCCTTCTTCTATGCAACAGAAATAATGGAGATGCCTGTGACAAACGACCTTCCCCTGCCTCAAATAACACATCTAGAGGAAAAGAAGAAATACGGAAAAGTTCTCCAGGCTAGAAGGTTACGTCAGTTTTCCCCACCTCCACTTTTCTCGTAACCAAATAAAATTAGAAAATCAGCAAGTTCATTGCAGATAGAGAGAAATTCAGGCATATGCTTCTGGATTTCTGCCAGATAAAATTTATTTGAGGAAAGCAGATGCTTTCTGCAAGGAGTTTGTCAAAAATTCTACTTCTTCAGCAGAGATGAAAAGCACTGACAATGTTTTGATCACGCATATTTATATGATAAATAATAAAAATGAGCACATTTCCCATACTGGAGATCAAGGAAGGATATTCAGACAGAAAGGTGAAACTCTGTTTCAATTCTTATAAGATTCAACAACAGTGAAAGAGGCACATCTTACTAAATATTTGTTACACTTGAAAAAAACCATACTTAATTAACTGGTGTGCATTTAATTAACATAACAATTGCCCAATTATATAAAAATGAGAATTTAATTTGAGACTCTTGAAGTATAAGGAGATTAAGGATAAAATATGAATATATATATCCTGCATCCTTAGTTTTTGGGACTGAGTGTGGAGGTGATATGTGGCAAAATAGCTCAACCCGAATCAGCAACTTAGAATGGGTAATAAAATATTCTTTCATCTGCACCTGGCCACAGGAATCAAAAAACGTCAAACAGGAGACGGTCTAGGAAATTTCCTCTTAATTTAAAAAATAAAATGCAGAAAGGGCACTTTACTGTCTACCCCAATCCACAACACAGGCTATGTAATCTTTTCTCATTGTCTTGCACGACAGTCCTATATACAGAATAGGACCCATTTAAGAGGGGATTTGCCAAACATACTTTTGTCTTTGGTTCTGGTTTTTCTTTTCTTTTTTAAACTACATATCTGTAAGGTTAAAAAGTCTCAACCAACAGATCATCTTGCTAAGCTCTTGCTCCACTACTTGTCCTTTGGTGTTTCTCCTTCTAAGAACATCATGCCTTCTCCTCCATACAGATACCCAGGACGATAAAGGTTTCTAATCTCTGGGACATCAAAGGCAGCATACTCATTTGAGAGGAGGTACACCTGCTTAAGTCGACTGGAAGGGCTTACAGCTGGCTCAGTGCAAGGAGTTTAATAATAATTCCCAGATCTAGTGTTCTAGTAAAGCAAAGAAATCATTAAGTACAAAAGAAAGTTTGAACTCTATGTTTCTGCACCTTTAGTGAAAAAACATAAACATCTCACTAAAAGTTATGCTATTATGAAAAATATACCAGCAGTGCCTTTTATAAGGTGAAAATAGCATAAATACAACTTAGTAACAGTACAAGGTGAGCCTTTCAAACTTTGTTTAAAAATTACTTTTTCTTAGATCCTATTTAAGGAAACATTTCAGAGTTGAACCTCCATGACTACCTGTTCTCTGCTTTTTCCCCATTACTGAGCAGTATTATTGACATGCCTATCATTGTACTAGTAAGAAGATCTCACAATCATATTAGAGCCAACATAAGGCACTGAAGACAAGGTTAGTTCATTACCTGTTATATTGCAAAAAACACGGAGTGGTCCAAGAGGTCCACTTCCATCAGAATCGATGTAGAAGAAACCTGATGTCTTCCCTTGGTGTCGATAAGCCTCACAAGATTGTTCATAGATAGCTTGAAAAGAGAGAGTGATTGTATCACAAACAAGGAGAAAACAAAAAGACATGTTTCATACATGAATACTACTTTAAACATTGTCGTAACATAAATTGTTGGTTCACTGCTGATTAGCATGTGAAAGATTTTACTGCATTTGGACCCAAGCCCATGCTCAGAATTAGGCATGTAATCATCTACTTCCTTGAACTTAATTGATTCTGCTTCAAAGATATATGCATTGGCCTTATTTTGGATTAAAGTATGTAAATACTTTAGTAAATGGGTATGAACTTTCAAATGTACCACCATCTAGTTGTGGAGTGATACCTATAAGCATCCACATAATGTAATTTCAAAGATGGATGTACATACATGATTTTCTACATAGGCATGTGCTCAAGTCTTGTCAACACAGATGACATTTTTAACAGTTACCAACTTCCCTGCAGGATATTGTTAACAAATAGCTATAAGCCCCTACCACCATCTACCACCCAAATGAAAACTAGCCAAACAAAGCAAGCAAACAAAAGTTTTTCTCTAGCAGAAAAGCTCAGATATGGTCTCCATCCTGGATGATATCTTTATGCTTTAGACTTATTTTTATACAACCCTTTCTCCCTGCCTCTCAATATTCTTCTTTTGGAGAATTAGTGCCCAGGGAAATCGAAGTGGTTAATAAAACAAGCACAGCAGGTCACCAAGAGCAAGAACAGGAGGAAAAACTCCCACAGTCCAATACAATTCCTTGTATTTCAGGCATGTTTTCAGGCAAGATATCATAACCGTCACTTCAGATGAGGCAAAGAGAAAACTCCCCCAGAGAGGCAGTTAGATCATATCAGAAAGTCACATGCATGATCCTGGATCCTGAACAACAGTAACCTTAAATCCCATTGCAGAAGGATTGATTTCTTTTTCCACCCTCTTAAGCACTTACCTGATTATACTGACAAGGTTATTCTCCATAGCAGCTTATGATTGTTCAACTAATTGTCAGCAAACACAACAAAAAACTCAGATTGACTTAGCACATAGATCAAGACCTCCTTTTTTGTCCCTATGAGACAGCATTATTTGGAACACACAGTAACTGAAATGCAAGCAAACAGAACTATCCCTAATCTTTAAGTAAGCTTTTCGGTGCTACCAATAGCAGAATATACAGAAATATATTTGGACATCATCTTTGGCTACTGCGAGGTCAAATCTATCTTTTTCTTACCACATAATTTTAAAAGAACATTTAGATACTATCTGAATATTCATAGAGCACTCTACAGCAAATACAGGACTTACACAGGCTGGGAGATACTCAGGGGAACTTGTGAATAACCCATTTGTTAGCCACTGCAAATCTTTTTTTCCAGGCCCCTCAGTTCTTCAGTCACAAGAGCAATACAGTTAAACTTGATAAGGCATAACATCTCCTGTATCAAGGTTGTAAATACAACTGCAAATTTCTCAGTGTTTTTCATCTGGAAGGACATTTGCAGACTGAGTGCAGGGAGAGAACTTCCTCACCACTTCTGAAATGCAGTCCTAGCCTCTCCTGCAGAAAGCAATTGCTCTGCACTAGTAGAAACTCCTCATTTCTACTCCTGTATTCCTTAAAAGTAGTTTCTCTAAAAAAAACAAATTACAGAAAGGCTTAAAGGGCCAGCTTGAAGTAGCCTTTTCTGATTATTATTCTGAAGAATGCTGTAAGATAGTTTGCCACTCAGATATTAATAGAATTTGGACATTTCTTCACTTCTGGCAACAAAACTGAATCAGAATTCTAGGGGCTCTGATCCTAAACTGGCTACAAATTAAGAGTGTCACCAGTCAATCACTTATATCGTTCACCAAAATATGCTCTTCCCTTGTACATTTCTCACCTGACTAGACCTCTAAAGCAGGCAGAACATCACTAAGTGCTAAGCATACACAGTACTACCCTTCCGAGACTTAAGAAGCTTCTGAGGGTACTCAGCACCTGGTGAGACAGGACTTTAATTAGTATCCATCCTATAATAAAGAGAATTCAGAAAGCTGCTTCTTTACAGTCATTAGCCTGATGTAAAAAGCACTGTAGGAGTCCAGAAGATCTCTAAATTCCCCCTCTGCTACCTGGCCAAGAGTACATATTAAATGCAAATAAAATAAGATCCCCAAATCAGAACCTTTTCTTCCAATATTCACAACCTGCAGGGCTAACAGAGAGTCCCTCAGTCACCAAAGTGCTGACTAAAGCAACTGGGAGCGTCAAGAGAGAGACTGTAGCAGGCAATTAAGTAAGCAATCAAGGAATCATGGTTTGATCAATTTGCAAAGTTCTCAAACTGCAGTTCACCTAGTGAATTTGCTGTCATCATCATTACAGGACGCTATCTTGTCTCATTAGGGAATATGTCAATTGCTTCCCCTGAATTGTTTGCTGAATATTTTTGAAGACATAGGATGATGCAAGGAGTAGAGACATAAAACTAATATGTTGTCAGTGAACTGTCACAGCTAGAAACTCATTCTTCATCACAAACTTTTTCTTACTGTTTTGCATCTTCTTGATTGTCATTTTGGCTAGAGCCCAGATCTCCTTTTTTCAAATTACTAAGGAAAGATGTGAAGACTCAGCCATTAGTAATGTGGTCAGATGCAAACAGAGATGATCGCTCCCCTTTAAATGGCCCCTTTGTCATTGCAACTTTGGGAAAAAAGGCTATATAGAGCTAAAAATTAGGCTAGGGGTGCTCAGCTGGTATAAATCTGAAAGGATGCACAAGCTTCAGTGAAACTACAGTTATGTCTGTCAGAAGAAAATCCATCCTGGTATGTTTACCTTTTGGCTATATGAGAATTCCAGCAGTAAATACTAGGGAGTAGCAAAAGAAGTGGGAAAAGGCTATAAACCTCAAGCTCTAGCACATAAAACATACTCTAACTGTCGTGACTTAGAGAAAAGCTGTTTTGGTGGACAGTTTATTTTGTAGCTGCAAGCTGAAAAAGTTTCACATGTCTGTATCTTAAGCATTTGGTACTGCATGCTTCTAGACTGGAGTTATGCTTTTAGTTTGCCTTTTTGCTATTTTATGCTGTATAATGCATCAAGGAAAAATTATATTTGTTTTCCAGTCAACTGACAGATGCCCCCACAGACATTTCAAGTGCACCATCCATTCCAAGCTCTGCTCAATATCTTTGCAGGCTGAGCTGACTGGTTTCAGAGTAAAGTTATGCAATTCCATTTACTGAAAAAGGCCCTCTTACTCCATTGACAATGACTTGAAGTTGTCTTTATGGTTCAATGAAAGATAAGATCTCTTTGCAGTGATTCTTCTCTTTATGCAATCAGAAATATCATACAAAAGTAAAAAACAGATGACAGTCAGCTGTGACTGTTAAGACTCCAGAGCCTTAACTTTAAAAAGTACCTTCATATTTATGTTCCTATTTTTTCCAGACTTCTCTGATATAGATAGAGATATGGTCATTTTGGGAACAGTAGGAAAACCATTACTGTAGTTGTCATTAAAGAGTCACCAACCATTTATGCATGCAATAGGGCCTCACTTACCAAAAGGAAGCATCAAGTGTAATTATGGAACTGTTGACAAATGCATACATTTTGATGTCAAACAACATTTGCAGTAATTACACCTTTTTAATAAAGGAGAGGCATTCATCAGTTGATTTGGTGTAGAAGATAACAAAAATTTTCAAGCATTATTTTAAAATTAATAATAAACACACAAACAAAAAATAGTGATTTTATTCCTTTCTGAGAAGTATTTTAGTAGTGTTTACACTTTGACTTCTTCAAGTTTGTTTTCAAATTTTAAAATGTTCACCAAAATGTGACCAGAGCAACAAAACCAACGTTCTTTATAGGCTGCTCATGTGAAGCTTCTTTCCTCATTAAAATGCTTCATTAAGCACTTCTTGAAAACGTAATTTCAAAAATTAAACCTGTAAATTGTCTTTTGCCTCAAAGAAGCAGGATCAGTTTTGCTTCTCTAACCCTCCCACACTTTTTCTGGACTAATTTTGATTTATGCCAGCCATTGAAGATAAATGATAGTTTTCTACCAACATTTGTTTCACTAAGCCAAAACCACTGAAAATCACAGTTTATGACTTTCAGACCATGCTGTGTTTCTTCAGGCCCTTTTGGGAACAAGCTGTGCTGCCATGCAGCAACAGCACTGCAAATCCTGCCACCAAGTTCCTGCAGGCAGTCAGGATGAAGCTCTTTGCTTAATGGAGTTACATTACACTAGTGCTCGACAGAAATCGATGTCAGCAGCACACACGAACCCATGCTCCACCCCTGCAAGTATTAGTTGCACCTCACAGTTGGGTATGGCAGGTAAAAGCATTAGGATAAACTACAGCATAAGGTAAAAGCCAAAGTGTAAAAGACGGCACGGGAAGATTTTGGCTGGTGGGCTATCGCTGGTAACAGTGGCTATTCCAGGAAGACAAACCAAGAAGCAGCGCGAGTCCAAGGTCCCAGACTTAAGTAAGGGAAACTGGTCATCAGAAACATCTGTTTTACCCCACCCCCACCTCCT